ACGGATAAGTGTAGATAGCGCAATAGAAAATCCATTAAAGAATATTTTTGTTAACTGTGACGTGCCTGAAGTGACTGGACTGTGACGTTCCGTAACTGATGTGTGTGAATCGACCTTTACCCCTAGTTTGTGTTGTCAGTTTTTGCTTAGGGAAAAATTCCAGGGTAATAAAATTCAGCTGAGTTACCTCCTGTTTTTTTATACAGGATGACAATTATAAGTCTTAGGACGACTTAATAACTTTACAACTAGAACACATATCACAACCAAATTCGGCATATGACTACTGGTAATAGTAATTAAACCACTTTTTTTGTGTAGATGGTGATCGGATGTCAACTATGGGGGACGGCCCTTGGGGAGTAAGTTTAAAATCCTCAAGGTAAGCATAGGTTGATATGCACATCAAATTAAAGGTCTTGTTGAACTATAAACAATGCCACAAACCGGACCATCAGATGGACAATCGGGTCAAAAATGACAGATGTTTAAAGATTTCTTGAATCTGCCATTTTTTACTCAGTTGTTCTTTTAGCTCAAATGTGTGGCATTGTATTCTACTGATAAAGACCTTTAATTTGATGTGCATATGACCTATGCTCACGTTTATGATTTTCTTCCGTCTTCTAGCGGGCCCCCCTGAGGAGATATAGCGTATAAGAGTGAAAATTTAAAAACGTACGTTTTCAGGAAAAGCACTTTGCAAATTTTTTTCCCCTTTTTTCAAAACTTTTATATTTTTTTTTATTTCATTAACATTTGAAGTTTCATAAAATGTCCATGGTAACGCAATATCTTTGGTAGTTTTCTTTTTAAAGAGCATCTTTAGTAGAAAAACACAAAATCCTGTCACGACCATAACGGACGTTTAAATGAATATTAAAAATAGTTAATATTATTTTTATAACTATGTTTTGCTATAAACTAATTTACTTTTATGACCATTATACAATAAAAAGGTCACTGAGCTTAAGGTATATTCGGTCTTTCTAGAAAAAAATATAAAAACTAAAAAAATAGAAAAAAGCCAATAAAATCTTTTAAAGTTTGTATAACTCCGAAAAAACTTACCTGAGACCCGAAAAGTCTTTATGTTTGTATAGAGGTGTGCTTCTTTTGTGTATAAAACATTGAAATATGACGATATTTTAATTTTTGAAATTTTTATGATAGAAATCATAAACGTGATGGTCAGGGACAAGCGGTACGGTCGTGAATTGTCTGAACTAATCTAAATCTTTCTAAACAATCCTTCAATTATACTGTTAGTTATAATAAAATTATGTGTTTCAATTGAACTAAACTGTTCAATTTACAATTATATTAAAGTTATTGTCACGACCAAACACACTATAATCCATAAGGCTGGATTGGTCGTGAAAAAAACCGCGATGGTCGTGAAACTTTGGTCGTGAAATTACGTGTTATTTGGCTCTGTTCTGGCGGTAGCCCTGCACCTCATGTTCGAGGATACAAAGTGTACTTCTAGGTTAATCTAGCAATTGAAATATCTTATAAACAAAAATTAACACCATGTCTACTTCATCAAATGACTACGTACGGTCATGGACACACCGAAATTACAAAAAACACAATCTTTCCTTTATTAATCTTGTGATTCCTCCTTTCAACTCAAAACGACCTGCACTACAATCCTGACGTACACCCCGAACTAGTCTCTAAAACCAACTGACTCCATCGACGCCAGGCTTGCCACTGTCGTGCTCCAAAGTTGAAAATTTTTCCCAAATGGTCGTGACGCCAAATCGAGGGACAGACTTATTTTGTCATGGTAGTCAGTCTGCAATGACAATAAAATTATAATATGCTCCTTTTTTGTAAGTTTAATAACCATTGATGACATAAAAATATGGCTTTATATATTTCGGCATGAATAATTAGTCTAAAAACAGCGTGAAAGTTGGAAAATGTACCCTAGGGACACGTCATGGTCGTGAATTTCGAGACTTTAAAAATACGAAAAGAATACCTAGAACCTATTTAAAACCAAATAAATGTGTGTAACATGTTGCCCCCGTCCCAAAAAATATTAAAACACATAATAATAAACTACAAATCCAGTATCTACGAAGTAAAAGGCCAGGGACATGAAAACGTACGTTTTTAAATTTTCACTCATAAATAGCATTGCAAATTTAACGGATCTTCAAACATCTTTTTGACTCGATTGCCCATTTGAGGTCTGGTTTGCGGCATTGTTTTTAGTTCAACAAGGCCTTCAATTTTATCTACATATCAACCTATGCTTACCTTTAACTTTAAGATTTTAAACTTACTTCCTAAAGGAGCCGCTCCCTATAGGTGTCTTCCGATCACCATGTACACAGAAAGTAGCTTTCTATTACCGCAGTAATGATGATATACTAAATTTGGTTATGATATCTCTTCTCTTTTTAAAATTATAAATTCGTCCTAAGATTTAATTGATTACCCTGTATAAACCAAATCAATTTTTCTGCAGCAAAAACAGCCGTTTTTAATGCATGCGTTGCGGGTCTAAAGTAGCATATTTTTAGTCTCTAGGGAGTAAATCAGCTTTTGTAAACGGTTGTAAATTTCGATTATGGCAATCGTATCGATCGAAACTATTTATCGGTTGATTTATTATGTAAAGTGTTAGCTTATTGTTGTCGATCGCTCGACACATCGATGGTAATGTAACATAATCGTAATAGACGAAATGATTGAATCACTTACTAAACAGCTACTTATTTGCATTTTTAGTAGAATTGAAAACAAGCTGGAAGTCGTTTTGAGAGGTAGCCTAATCTTCAAATAAAAATTATTTCGTTTTCTAGCCTTTGTTAAAATGATGCAATATGACGAAAAATATAGTTCACCACACAGGAAAAAAGTGTTTTTTGCCATCGCTCATTTTCCGACCTCGGCTTCGCCACGATCGTAAAACTCGACCTCGGGTCAAAAAGAGTCACGTTAGGCCCTCACTATACTTACAGTGATTAAGTATAGGCTACTACTCTCTAGCTACAAACTAACTTGTAGATTCCCCACGAATATTAGAACAGAAAGTGGTGGGTCATTAAAATAAACAAATGGTGTTACTGGTCCAAAAGTAAACATTACTTAACATAACTGAAATAGAACTGTCCAAACCATGAAATTATGTTAATGTTATTGTTATAATAGAATTCGTACCAGTTACCGGTACGTCATTTTGTTTACGTGTATGATCCATATACCGCTTTAGTTGCCGTTAGTGAATTTGAGACGAAGTCTTTCAAAATAAATAAATTAATAATAAGTATATGACTATTAATTGCAGGCTACAAGCAATATACAGTCCAACCTCAGTATAACGAATCTGAAGGGACCGAACAGAATATTCGTTATATCAAGGATTTCGTTAAAACGGGGTTCGTTATATAGAGGTTAGGTTTGCAGGAATTTCGCTAAGTCGAGGTTCAGAACCAGCGTCGGTCAATATAGGTCGGGATTTGACCACATTAAAATACAATTAAAGTAGCATAGCCTACAATACTTTACAGTACAGTGTTTACATTGTACAGTAGAACCTAAATTATTCGGCATAATAAAGGGGAGGGATCTTGAATATTGCGCAATCATGACAATGGCATTGACCTTGGTATAGGTTAAAAGCTGTAAGTTTAAAATCACAGCTTGTTCTAATCCTCCTAAAACCTAGCCAAACACTGTATTGCGTAGTCATAAACCATGTAAAGAACAAAACAAAACAGTAGAAAGATTTGTAAGCTACTGCCCGCGATAGGCCGGTAGGCTACTTACAGTACAGTACTGATTTATCACAACAGAGGAATGTCAATAATAATCAATAACTATAGCATTGGTGTTGCTAGTTGAAACAAATCGTATTGAAAACAATAAATTATTAGATAAGTCGTTATAAAAGTGTATAATCATAGCCAACTTAAGGATAATAAAAACACTCATAAAAGGAATGTTAAAATAACTATGTTGCTATTCTTTCTCTTTGGTTTTGTTTTTATATTCTTTCTTAGGTTTCTCTTTATCCAAAAATTGTACAATTCGCCATAGTTATCCCATATCGCCCTATCACAGCTTACTAACCATTACGTCGTCATCAGTCCTCAGAGAATTAAATCAGTTCTCAGTTGTAACATAGCGCGCGCAGTGACAGAAGACAAAGATGTAAAACGGAGCAGGAATGTTAGCGCAAGCGATGACGTGACCTTACCATTTAATTTGATAAAGAAACAGATTTTCCCAAAACAATAATTGGGTGGGGGATTTGTTATATCGAGGGAAAGACGTAGACAATTCGTTATGCAGAGGTTAAATTCGCAATGTAGAGGTTCTGACAATGACAAATTCGTTATATTGAGGTGTCTTATTTTAGCCGAAATCACGAAAAATTCGTTAAATCAAGGTCGTTGTTATGGTATGTTCGTTATGTAGAGGTAAAATATACATTGTGTCTTATGGAGAGTTCTAGGGGATTAAAAAAAAATCGTTATATCAAGGAATTCGTTATATCGAGGTTCGTTATATCAAGGTTAGACTGTACAGTGATACCCATTACCCATCAACGCCATACGGTTTCGTTCCAAAGTAACAGAAATAGCTACCCGCTATAACTAGTTTGACGTTTCACAACCGTTACATTAAAAGTAGCCGGAGCGTTTACTTGGTATGGTCTACTAGTGCGCATGCGTGGCACTTCTATACCCAAACGCTCCTGTTTCCACTGGCAGCTCTGTTAAGTGTTTACCGATCAGTTAAAAAGAAATAAAAGTATTTAACTATTATTAATATGTATTGTAAAAGCTGAAGAAATGTTCTTACCAAACTTGGATTACTAATTATCCATTATTTGTTTGAATGGATTTGTCAAGGTTCCATGGCTGTTTTATAAATATATTTTTGCGCAAACGTTGTCCGGCCTGTACGTTACTCTCCAGTCCAGTGTGGTACAGCTGATGTAAAAAAAACATACGTCAGTTTCAGATGCAGACGACACTTGAGTCGATATCTCGGGGAGTGAACGATGTATGATAAGAGCGTGTTTGTTTGGATTTTTAGATGTAGTGTTTTTGTCGGTTTATTATCTGCGGTTGTAACCGTTATATATCTCACGCCAATTCCAGGTGAGAATTTATTATAGGGTTATATTTAATTACAGAAGGTTAAAAACTTGATGAAAAATTACTAGCCATTAAAAGTGTAGTTTAATCCATATCTTATTCCAGTATATTTCCTGAATTTCTTTATCTAGCTGTTAAATTAATATTTTATAAAATCCTTACAGTAGTTATTATTTTTTACTGATAGACTTCGATGATTTTGCTTGTATCTTATATTTTCTGTTTGTTGTTTGCAATGGAAATTCGTATTGGTCGTTATAATTACGTACTCTTACTTAAATTTTATTTTAGAATATACACAATACAGTATAAATAAATGTATTATGAAAACACCCATATTATTTGCTGCATAAATACACAATGCGTTAAACATGTTTCAATCTAATATAAATATTAGACTATCTGAGACGATAATGAAAGAATCTAAAAGCCTCATTAGCCTACCACAATCTTCTCCACCATCAAAATTAAAACCTGAGAACTGATGTTTAAAATAGGTCTACATAGCAGAATACAATAATTTTACAGGAATTTTTTAAACTATAATTGTCAATAAAAATATTTGGCCACAGATTTCACTTCACACTAGAATTTGGGCTTTACAAAGTAAGATTTTTAAATATTAAAATTGACGGCAAATTTTATCAATACCTCTATGGGGCAAAAACAAATTATTGATGTCTTGTCATTACAGTCGTTTGATAAAAAAATTTTACCTTCACCTAAAAATTAAACAATAGCCTAGTGTTATTTGACGTCGACTACATCTACTTGACGAAATATGATTTTGCCATTATTGAACACCAATGATACGCAGTGTAGATTGATTGAAAACCCATCGACATCCAAGCCAAGTATACTGCGGTAGTACGGTATACTTTGATTTATACAGTTGATTAATTATCTTTCAAATGATTTCCAATTTCCAGTTAGAGGAAGACCACCACTCCATAATCCATCGCCATACATACAGTCATCGAGATACTTTTAGTTTTTAGGACGCCTTCTATACTACCCTTAAGTTTCAGAAGTTTGTTATATTTAAAAATAGGTATTTTATAAGGATCTTAATAAACTTAGCTTGTTTTAGCGAACTTCCCTACAGCTAAGTATCTATTACCGTAGGTGGCACGGTAAGACCTAGGCCCGGGACCGATTTACTTTTTCATTTTGATGTCTCCAGAGGCATTTATATACCGTATACGTATATGTATACGTCCGTGAACGCGATAACTTGAGTAATTGTTGTCCGATTTTGATGAAATTCTGTTTAAAGGTGTAAGGCGAGATAAACTTGAATGAGTTCGCGAACCACCATGATCGGACCATGGGAACGGGGTTTACGGGGGGGGGGGGGTTATAGGGTAAAAATAGGTTTTCCCATTTTTGACACTCAAAAAACAAAATTTCCCAATTTTTTTCTAGAAATTTTTAAAGACCATAAAAAACAAATAATTTAGTAGCCTATATCAAAGTGTTTTTGTACGGCTATTGGTAACGGAGAAATTAAAAAAAATTAAATTTCTAATTCTCATGTTATTCTTATGGAGAATATTGTAAAATGTTGTAGTTTGCTTGTTTATGGATATATTTTGATCAAACTCTGCAAATTTATTTATTTTATTCAAACCTAGGTACTCGTTAAACCTAATGTTATTTAAATAGATTTGATTAAAAATCAATTCAGACAAATGGAAATTCGCTTAATCGGCAGGTTTGCTGTGGTGGGGGTATTTATAATTATTTTTAAATTAATTTTAATATCAACCAAGAATGGGTGATCATAATCTTATGATAAGTAGATTACTATGAAACACTGTTCATTCACTACAATATTAAGGATATTCAAGTAAATGTTATGTGTTCACAAGTTCACCCCTATCGCATATTGAAAAAATATGTGCTGTTCAGAATTTACTGTTGATTGTATTTTTTTACGATTTATTTGGTGCATGTTTGGTACGTAGCTTCCCGCAGCACGATCCGTGAGCGAATGCATCAAACACGTGAACTTTTGTGACAAGACAGTTGATTATTACACTAAAATCAGGTGTTGATGAACAGCACCTGACTGGTTTGTGGTCTAGTGCAGAGCCGCGCGCGGGTTGACCCAGATAGGCCTGGTCCATAGGCGCTATTGCCTCATGAAACGAAAGTCACTTCAGCTTCCGCGTCTACGTTCCCTTTTCAGCTCCTGCCAATGAGCTTGCTATACGACTATCACACCTAGGACGTGTCGTCCTCAAAGATCCAAAACATGCATGTATTTTATGCTTGTACAAGCAAAACATATTTATTGGTTTTTAGATATGGAATTGTAATTACTAAAAATAGGTTCTACCTTTCGTCCACAGCTCGATCAGTTATAGCTAGCGTTACGGTATTTTCGGCATTAACATGCCATCATCAGACATCTTCAGCTGAAGCAGCGTCGTCACAGCAGAAACACATAACACGGACATATTTTACAATTACAAAAATTCGAACATTAAATTAACACATTTGAGTCGGCATCCAGTTCAGATCATCTCAACCGGTACCGCGTGTGCAACAGGCCTGTTAATTTTATATTCGTATTTTTGTAATTGTAGTAAAATGCGTCCGTGTGTTTCTACTGTGACGACGCTGTTAAGCTGAAGATGTCTGATGACGGCATGTTAGTGCTGAAATGGCCGTAACGTAAATTACAACTGATTGAGTTGTTGACGAAAGCTAAAATATATTTTTAGTTAAATCACTGCTCAGGGGCTAAAACATGGATTTTAATTGAATTAAATCGAATAAGTATATTCGGTCGAAGTATATTATACCTTAAGTGCAATTAAATGTTTAAAACCTTAACATTTAAACTGTGTAATACCATAGTCGAACTTTTTTTTTAAATCTAATTATAATTTTCCTGTCGGTGTAAGTGTTTGCTAGTTTAGTTAATGCACTTTGAACGTAAAGGGATAATTAACCCTCTAATAGACTAGCTGTTAAGGTTGATTAGAAACCTAGGTTATTAATTGATTTCACATATCATTACGAGTGTCTTAATCTAAATGGATGAGAAAGTGTCATTTACAAACCGTGATCTATAATTATCAACAAGTTAAAAATAAAATAAATTTATAATTTGCATTATTTGATCTCCTTGGTACCCTTTTTACATTCATTGTTTTCCAACTACTAGTTTCAACGCTTATCCGTGTTAACTTAAAAATCATCGAAAATGTAATTATTGTTTACGTAGTGAAACGTATGTAGGTGCTTCAACTAAATGAAGCATAAAGTGGGTATTGGTAGCATTCTGACGAATAAAACCCCTGAAAATGATATGTAATAACATATCTATCTATAGTTTATTCATACATGTGCATTTTGATAGAACTAGGAAATTGAGAGTTTACCTCCTACAGCGATACTATAACCGATTCCACCATTAAGTTACAGTCTAACCTTGATATAACGAACCTCGATATAACGAATTCCTTGATATAACGAATTTTTTTTAATCCCCTAGAACTCTCCATAAAAGACTATGTATATTTTACCTCTACATACACATCTCTTTTACACATCTCTCTGTCTGCTGTCGCTGCGCACGCAATGTTGCAACTGAGAACTGATTTCATTCACTGAGGACTGATGACGACGTAATCTGTAGTAAGCTGTGATTGGGTGATAAGTAAATATGGTGAATTTTACAATTTTTGGATAAAGAGAAATCTAAGAAAGAATATAAAAACAAAAGCAAAGAGAAAGAATAGCAACATCGTTATTTTAATATTCCTTAATTTACGAGTGTTTTTATTATCTTTAAGTTGGCTATGAATATGCACTTTTATAATGACTTATCTAATAATTTATTGTTTTCAATACGATTTGTTTCAACTAGCAACACCAATGCTATAGTTAATGATTATTATTGACATTCCTCTCTTATGATAAATCAGTACTGTAGCCTACGGTAGCGTACTGGCCTATCGCGAGCAGTAGCTTACACAACTTTCTACTGTTTTGTTTTGTTCTTTACATGGTTTATGACTACGCAATGTAGTGTTTGGCTAGTCTTTAGGAGGGTTAGAACAAGCTGTGATTTTAAACTTAAAGTTTTTAACCTGTACCAAGGCAAATGCCATTGTCATGATTGTGCAATATTCAAGATCCCTCACCTTTATTATGCCGGATAATTTAGGTTCTACCATTGACTATTAGATACAGAAGGTTCTACTGCACAATGAACACTGTACTGTAAAGTATTGTAGCCTATGCTACTTTAATTGTGTTTTAATGAGGTCAAATCCCGGCCTATATTGACCGACACTGGTTCTGAACCTCGACTTAGCGAAATTCCTGCAAACCTAACCTCTATATAACGAACCTCATTTTAACGAAATCCTTGATAGAACGAATATTCAGTTCGGTCCCTTCAGATTCGTTATACTGAGGTTGGACTGTATTTTCATATTTGGATATGGACGATATAGCATTTGGCATTGAATAAATAATTCCAAGAAAGAGTACGGTTTGTATCTCCGAATGTAATCATTACGTTCAAGCTAGCCACATTGATACGCAACTATTATTATTATTATTATTATTATTTGTTGTCATGAGAGCCGAAGCCCCCTGACTGCTTACCCGGTACCTATCCTTCAGGACATACCCGGGCCCCATGATGTAGGCCGAAGCTTACGCATCAACCTTTAGCACATCATGGGCGGATGACTTAAGGTCATCAGGCTCGCCGGCTGCCGAAGCAGACCCTTCGGAAAGAGGGTTGCCCCTCAATCCTAACCAGGGATTCCGGCTGCTTGTTTAAGCGTCACTCCACCTGGGTTCCACTAGGTCGGAACCTAGAGGTCCATAGTAGAGCGCCCCGACGCATTTAGTGCAAGCAACACTCGGGACCTATCTCATCCCTGACAGGCAGAACCCGCCATCAATAGCCAGGAGGAAGGGGACCATCAGCACGCTGACGGGGGGAACCCCAACCTCCCATTTACACCGCTGCCCGA